GGCAGAAAAAAAAAAAAAAAGGGGGGGAGGTAGAGAAAGAGAGAAAAGGGGTTAGAGAGAGAGGAGGGATTACAGAGAGAGAGAGATCCAGGGAGAGAGAGACAGACAGACAGATAGAGAGAGGGAGAGAGAGAAAGGGGGGAGGTGAGAGAGGAGTGATGAGAGAGAGATCATATATATTTATATTATACAGAAAGAGAGAGAGAGGAGGGGTTAGAGAGGCGGGGACGAAAGAGAATATTTCTTTCAAGACGAATGGGTCGTTCACAACGCCTACTCTTATAAGTCTTAACTGTAATAAAGGAGGCGTTGGTGGGGCAGTTTGCGTTCCCACACACGAAAAAGTTGCACGCTGTTTTATTTACTACATGTACTTTGTCCATCCCCGTCCTACGCTGAACAAACACTCAAAGGCCTACACTCCCCCCCCCCCCTCTCTCTCTCTCTCTCTCTCTCTCTCTCTCTCTCTCTCTCTCTCTCTCTCTCTCTCTCTCTCTCTCTCTCACTCACTCTCTCTCTCTCTCTCTCTCTCTCTCTCTCACACACACACACGGGAGGGGGGGGGGACAAAAACAACCAACAACGTTGTCTTCCTGGCTATGTTAGTCCACGCTTTTTTGTGACGTCTCGTTTACAGTACTCAACTAAAAAAAAGTGACTGATGAGTAGAATTCGGAGATCCAACAGCCAATCAACAGACAGCTACTTGGTGAATACAATTCAGTTCGTGCTCTCTTAGGGCACTTTGAGCAGAAATTAATCAGTTCAAAGCTGGCGACATTTCAGGTACTTGTGATTCCAGAAGTAAAACTACATTGGACACTGCCTTCCCGTCTCCTGTGCTAATGAAACCGAGGCGATCAGGCGACACATAGAGATTTGGATTCCATTATATCTTAGCAAACATTCAAGTATGTTATTTGTTTTCGTATTTCTTGATATTGAACCGTATTCCAATTCTTATTATCAAGTCCTCATTCTTTGTCTCTCCCCATTCCTCCTCATTGTACATATTGTGCGTACTGAAAGGTCATTTCATTCCCCTTTCCCTATTTTGGGCTAGTTCCGTTGTTTCTCTCTCACTTGTATTTCCTGTGCACTCTTTCTACTCAAACTGCACCCCTCCCCCCCCCCCCCCCCTTAACCCCTTCCTCCTAGTTCCTTCAGATTTAGTAATTTCTATTTTCAGTATTCCACATCCAGCAACCACCCTTGCGACTCTTAATTTAAGCCAGAGCAATCTCTCTCTCTCTCTCTCTCTCTCCCTCCCTCCCTCCCTCCCTCTCTCTCTCTCTCTCTCTCTCTCTCTCTCTCTCTCTCTCTCTCTCTCTCTCTCTCTCTCTCTCTCTCTCTCTCTCTCTCTCTCTCTCTCTCTCTCTCTCCCTATTAACAGACGTCCCGTATCAGGAAATTAACTCAATTACTACTTTAGAATTTAAAAAGTACCAATAATTGGTGAGTTTTGAGTTCAACTTCAAATTACATGTTTGTATTTAGGTGTCTCTCAAAAAATGCCCCTGGTCATGTCGAGTAATGAGTCTAAAATTAACCTAAGACCTGAATATGTGCTTGTTAAATCAATTCAACTGAGAACAATTTATATTGGTTGCTTCGTGTCCCTGAAGGTGGAACCTCTCCTTCAATAGGTTGCATTATCACACTGATACTAATATTGGAATAATGGAAGTTTTAATTGGTCAAAAATACACAACCATGTGAACATCTCCGAGAAGGATAAACATGTCCTTTCTTTATAACATGCTACAATTTGTTTCTTCTACTGTTTGGCTTATTTTGATAGAATGCGGTGAATT